TTCGGCTCAGGTCATGATCCCAGGGTCCTGGGATCGAGCCCCACATCAGGCTCCCTGCTCAGCAAGGAGCCTGCTTCTCCCTCTCCCACTCCCCCTGCTTGTGTTCCCTCTCTCACTGTCTCTCTCTCTCTGTCAAAAAATAAATAAATAAATAAAAAGAAATAGATTCTTGAACCAACTGTACCAGCAGTTTCGTCCAATCAGGTCATGGTTCCATGGAATGAATGTACTCTCTGACATTCATTTTTTTTTTTTAAATACAGAATTCCATAAATTAGTGAATTATATGTTGAATGTGAGTTGACAAGATGTGATACTTTTCACCGTTTATTAATTTTAGATGCCTGTGTTTTCTAGCTTTAAATATCTAATAAGTAGTTAACTTATTAAGAATTTGGGGCTAATACCAATTTTCTGTGGGAAAAAAGTAAGAATTTTATTTAGAAATTGTTTTATAATTTGAAAAAATTTGTAAATTTTGGTTTGTTGTGTTTAGAAGTTTGGAGCCAAAACATAGGTCCATGAACATGAAGTTCTTCATAAAGTTTTATAGCCCTGAGCTTTTATTTGCAATTAGTTGCTTAAGGAAAGAGATTGAGTTCTTGCAGGTTATATGGGTTAAGAGGAGTGTGTTGGGGTAAGTGGGGTCATCTGAACAGCCATATTACCTTGAGAAAGGAATAGGCAGTGCTGATTCTACATACAGTAGTCTATCTACAGCTATGCTGACTATGGGTAAAGAATTTCATAGCCTAGGAAGTATGTAATTTTATATTATCAAATTTTCCTTTAGAAAGAGATTTAAAACTTTAAACAGTGCAATATTTATCAACAGAATTTGAATCAAGCTTCTCTGTGACTAAGATAACAGTTTTGTTGATGAACTATCAGCAATTTTTATGTTTCAGAGCAAATTATACATTGCTTATAGAACATCTCGTCCAGATTTTTAATGATAATTTTAAGTTTGGATTTTTTAAACTCTTTTTTCCAAAGGGTTACAACTTGCATTCTAATTTTTTTTAAAGGCAGTTAACTTCTGTTGATTGTGATGCATGTGGATGCACTGTTCCATAGATTTTTGTATCTCTCTCTGTCTACCAGAAAAATAGGCCCTTTATTCATGGGTGGCATAGATATTGCCATGCACACTCACAAGAAAAGCTCTCCTTCGGTGTCACTCGTTATATGACCCTGTCAGTCCCATGGCACTGAGAACACATAATACTCTTTCTACAAAAATTGTTTTATCTATTAATTAGATGTATCTTCCCATACTTTTATTGTTGCAGATTGAAAGACATGACAACTGTGCCTATGACTACCTAGAAGTTCGAGATGGAGCCAGTGAAAATAGCCCTTTGATAGGGCGTTTCTGTGGTTATGATAAACCTGAAGATATCAGATCTACCTCCAATACCTTGTGGATGAAATTTGTTTCTGATGGAACTGTGAACAAGGCAGGGTTTGCTGCCAATTTCTTTAAAGGTAATTTGAAGTCATTTAAAGTGTGAGATTTTCTTTGTTAGGGATAAATGTGATATTTAACATTAAGTTAAGAGAGAACTACAGTAAAGTTATACTGGAAGTTAAGAATGCACTGTGCATAAGGGATATTTGAATGATTTTTGATGGTAACAGGTTATTGGTAAAATACTGGAATTTGGAACTTTGTAGCACAGGGTAAGAACTCTATTAGGATATCCTCCCATCCATTTTTATGAAATACTCAAAAAGGCAAAATCCAGAAAGGGAATTTAGACAGGGAGAAAGCATTTGGAATGTAATAAACATAAGATTCGTAACCAGAAGAAGTCATTCATCAATTTATTTCCAGGTGACAGCATTTCTAAACCACCTTATAGAGAATAATGTTCCACCACATTGGAAATAATGTATGGCCTCCTTAGCAGAATATTCTTATACCTAAAATGCCTTTTTGACAAAGAATTATTATTGATTGGCTTTAATTTTAAATTACATAACCAAATTTTAGTATATTTTCATGTCCCATATTTGGTGTGCATTGCTGAGGTAAAAAGAACCATTTTATTTATTTATTTTTAAAGGTTTATTTATTTATTTGAGAGAGAGAGAGAGGGTGTGGAGGGAAGAGAGCGAGAGTCTCAAGTAGACTCCATGCTGAGCATGGAACCCAATGCAGGGCTCGATCTCAGGACCCTTAGCCAACTGCACCACACAGGCACCCCAAAAGAAAGCCATTTTAGTACAAATAACATCAAATTTGCATTTAGAAAATTCATAGGCACTTAACATTAAGTGTGTCATTGTAAAATAAGACTATGGACTCTGAGAAACAAATTGAGGGTTCTAGAGCGGAGGGGGTGGGGGATGGGTTAGCCTGGTGATGGGTATTAAAGAGGGCACGTACTGAATGGAGCACTGGGTGTTATATGCAAACAATGAATCATGGAACACTACATCAAAAACTAATGATGTAATGTATGGTGATTAACATAATATAATAAAAAAAACTCTTTTATGGGGAGAAAAAACAGAATTTTCTCTACACTGATTTTTATAGAATAAATGATGGATTGAGTTGTGTATGTCAAAATTTACTATGATTAATAGCCCAACACTTTTGTTATTTAAAGAACAGTATAATGGATTTTCCCTGAGAATTACTTAGGTATTCACCATATGATTTGAAAGGCAGAGAACCCTGGTACTTTTACTAGATGCATTTGAAATATTTATTAAAATGTACATCTACATGCATTAGTTCTGTAGTATTTTATAGTAGAAGAAACATACCATCAAGAGTCCCCTCTGTGATGCTTATATATTTGGTTATTAAAAATGTTTGGAGTTTGGCCAGTGCAGAATTTCTCCAGAGTATATTGTTTGCTATTTTCTCAACTCACACTAGGTTATTCATGGGGATTGAGATTAGGGAATACATTGTCATATATGTTGTTATTTAATAGCATATATTTTTCATACATATTTATTTTTCATATATACTTTTTATGTTTCCACATATAATAAAATAGTGTGTGTATTTATAAAATATGGAATTTTTGTATTTCCTGGATCAATATGTCTATATAAAAAATACTGAATACTTTAAATTTAAGGAGGTCCAGTAGGTTTCAGAATTTTCTTTCAGTTTATATTCACCATAAGCTGTTTCTTAATAATGGCATTTCTTTAAAAGCATTTTTCTGGATATCTAGCAAACTATACTATGAAATCAGCAAGTGAAGCTGTTTTTTCAATAAGTTTTTCTATTTTATTCTGGACATTCTCTATGTTGTAAGAATTCCCTTGACCTTGAAATTAGAAAAAAAAGAAACCTCACATACCTGTCAGAGATAAGATGATCTTCAGTTGGCATTGCTATTAAGTTTTTAGTCCTTCTCTTGGTTCTTATACAATTCTTAGATTGAAGTGACGTGAATTCTGGTATGCCTTCTATCAAGGGCTTGCAAATCAATCATTCCTGCTACTTTGTTGAAGAAATCAGTTGTCTTTGTTTCATCCAGAGTTATTAAGTGTCATATTTTCAGAAAATCTTACAGCTTAGTATGTAAAACACAATACTCTATCTGGTTGTTCTCTACTCCTCGCGCCATCTTTGTAGAGGAAGATGAGTGTGCCAAACCTGACCGGGGAGCCTGTGAGCAGCGATGTCTGAACACACTGGGCAGTTATCAGTGTGCGTGTGAGCCTGGCTATGAGCTGGGACCTGACAAGAGGAGCTGTGAAGGTAGGGTTGCATCTGCACGTGGAGCTCCCTGCATGAACCTGCACCCGCCAGCCCCCCGCCCCCACCACCAATGCCCCATTCTTCTTTCTTTAATACCTCTCATTCTCTTTCCCTCTGTCTGCCTCTGTCCATGCCTTTCCTCTACAGTAACCTCTTTCCTCAACTGATAAGACGCAGTTTGTAGTCATAGTTAACGTGAAACGTTGCCTGGGTGCTTGTGATAGAATCAGTCATTTGCTCCTTTGGTTACCAGGCCACCTTGTTTATTATATCTCTATTTCTATGCATTTCTCCCCCCCTTTTGCTCTCTCTATAATCTATATCATCTCTCTCTCTATTTCTCTTTTTATCTCTGTCTAGATCTAGATTTTTACCCATCCATCCATCATTTATTTTTACCTTTTCTTAGCATCGTTTATGGGTACGTCTCCCTTACTAAAGTACAGAATCCTGAATCTGATTTATTTTTGTACCTCTAGCTTCTAGCACAAACATAAAGCAGGAGCTAAATGTGTTTTATTAATAAATGCTTCATAAACAAAGAGATTTTGCTATGTTTTCTCCATTTCCTCTGCACATTCTAAGATGTTACTTCTTGAAAATGTTTTGTTACCATGTCTTATGATCTCTTCCTTCAGAATTTAAAGCTGCTTTTTTTTTTTTAAAGATTTTATTTATTTATTTGAGACAGAGAGAATGAGAGAGACAGAGAGCACATGACAAGGGGAAGGGTCAGAGGGAGAAGCA